GCTAATGCTAACATGCTAAACCAACGAGACGTTTAGCAAAAGCTAATGCTAACATAAACAGCGGGACTGTTCCCACCCTGACAGAGGAAATGGTCCGAAGGCCCGACTGAGGAAGAGGAGCGAACAGCTGCTGGACTGAGCAGAACTTTGGGTCGTTTAGACCCCTGGAGACCCGGTACCGGTTCTGTTGGTGACATGAGGAGTCCATTTGCAGACTAATGGCTCCGTAATGCGGCGGCGCTGCTGCATCAGCCGCCGCAGCTCTCAGGAGCAGCATGCCTAGGTGGGCCCCATGTGGGGGAAAGGAGGGCTGATATATGGGCCCCACATGGGTTTGCCCATGTAGGGCCACAGCCCACATGGGCCCTACGTGGGCAGTAAATGGACAAACCCATGTGGGCCACCACCATATAGGGCCCAAGTAGGACCCATGTGGGCTGTGACCCTACATGGACAAACCCATGTGGGACCCATATATCAGCCCTCCTTTCCCCCACATGGGGCCCACCTAGGCATGCTGGCAGGGGCCAGTAAGCGTCCCCTGGATTCCACCACTATTTAAATTAATAAGTAGATTAAAGCTGGTGGATAATTCATGAATCTGATCAGATAAATCTGCAGCATGTTGTTTCCCTCCTTGGCGTCCAGCTGAACTTCATTCACTGCATGAGTTTCATGAACGCAGTCAGTTCAGCTGCGGCTCTTTAACCGAGTCACCAAAACCTGCATCCTGCTGAAGACGCACTTTGACCCTTTAGAAGATGAATACAGGAAGTAAAGCGTCCGTGACGGAGAACGTTCTTCTTCTCCTGGTTTCAGGGATTCATCTCATTTTCAGACCAGCAGATGCTTTTGGGCCTTAAAGTGGAAATGGAAAAAAAAAAAAAAAACATCTCACACTTAATCATCTAATCATTAAATATGACCAAAAAAAATTTGGTTGTTGGTTGAATTTTAAAAAAAAAAAATTCCTCAATATAAACGTCTGACTTTTTAATCCCCCTTCAAGACTCATCATCATCATCATCACCATCACCATCATCATCCTCCGTTTATATCCCAATAATCTTCCACCTTTTTCTTTACATCTCAGTTTTTCTCACTCATTCTCCTCCTTTTCACTAATAATCCTCTTTACAAACCTCATCATCCCTTTCATCTCTCCTTATGTCCTTCTTTTCCTCTCATCTGTTTTCATTTATCCCACTAATCTTCCCCTTTGCCAACTGAATCGTCCATCTGATTCATTTCCATAATCTTCCACTTTCTCCTTTACATCTGTTTTTCCCACTCATCCATCCTTACAAACCTTTCATCCCTCATTATTTTAATGAACTTTTACACTCATCCTTCCTGCTGATGTTAAATAAAAATCAACATATTTATCAGTTAAATATGATGTTTCCCAGCATTTTAATGTAAATTATGGTTTTAAAGAACAGAAGGAAGTTTTGCCTCTGCAGAGGAAATGAAAAGTAACTCCTCATTAAGCAGCAGCACTTAACGAGTTGGGTTTTGCAACTTTCTGTATTTTTTCTGCATTTTCAGCCGTTTGCTCAAATTGTCATGAATGAAAACTCCTGTAAACACAGCTAAAGTTCAGGAAAATAAAATAATGATATTTCAGAGCAGTTCCTTGTTGGATCAGACTCCCAGCATCTCCACTGTTTAATAAAAGAAGAACTAATCCCTCTTTGGCGACATTTTCAGCCTCTGTGTGGTTATTTATGATTTGTCCCGTTCAGCAGCTTTAAAACTCAACCTTTAATCGCTGCTAATCGTTTCCTTCCTGTCCATCTTTACTTCTATCTGCAGCCTGATCTGAATATTTTATGACTGATGGAGGCGTCCAGAAGTTCACAGCTCGTCTTTAAGCTTCTCTTCTTTGGCTCTTTATTTCTTTCATGTTCTTATATTTTGGTTTCCAAGCAGCTGGGAGTTCTTACATAAACGATGATATTTCTGCAGCATCTCTGAAGGTCATGCATGAGGAAAAGTCCCAGAAAGCCTGAGGAAGTGTTGGTTAAAATATCAAAGTTTGCATGCTGACCTCCAGTAAAACAAACAGGAATCCTGGTGAAGCCAGAGATCAGCAAACAGCCACTCACCTTGAAGAGCCAGCAGGGTCAGAGGCAGCAGCAGCATCCCGGCTCCGTTCAGGCACCAAACACACACCGACACACACTCTGCGCCCTGCAGCGCCGACACGTCCGGACCCTCTGCAGCCCGGAAGAGGAGAATGGAGCTGCTGGGACTCTGGGTGTGGTCTGCCCTCCTCTTCCTCTCCTCCTGATGAAGAGGGGAGCCGCAGAGGGAGGAGGAGTGGCTGAGGACCTGATGGAGGACGGCCGGTCCAAACGGATAAAGAGCTCAGAGTCCAGAGCAGGAAATGGAAGCAGCGTCGGGTCCTGGAGACGTTTCAGCTGCTTTTACTCTCACATTTCTCTGCTTCCTCCACAAAAAAATCTGATATTCTCCTCCAAAACCACCGATGGGTCAAAGGTGAGCGGATTCCATCCCGCCGTCCAGCAGGAGGTCGGGCTGCAGACAGGCTGATCCGGAGCGCAGACAGACCGAGGAATCGGCTCTGGAGCGTTTATTCCCTCAGAGCGACGCGCGGAAACTGACAGAGGGACGATGCGCTCCGGGACGGGGGAGGGAGGCGAAACATAGCAGCAGAGAGGAGGAGGAGGAGGGGGAGCCATAGAAGTGTTGCTATGGTAACGGATTTCCCTGTGATGCTTCCGTATCCTCTGAAGGTCCCACATGCTGCAGAGAAGATGCAAAAACAGAAACAGGCGGGAGGTTTTTAGGCAGATGAAAAGGTTCTGCTGATGAGTTAAAGCGTCATAATTAACGGCTCCAAGTTCAACAGATATGACACTTTTAAGAAACAAACATAAAACAGAGAAGATCTCAGAGTTCATATCAGGACTTTTAAATCCTCCTGACCTCTAGGGGGGGCTACACAGTTAGCTGCACAAACTCTAAAACTCTAATCACAAAAATTAGCACCACTAAAGCTAAAAGGCTATTCCAGCACTGTAATTAGCAGAAGCTAATACTAAAGCAAATACCAACATAATATTAGTGGAAGCTATTGCTAAAGCGCTATAACAACATTGTATTTAAGCTATTGCTAAAGTGAAATAGCATGATGGTAATGAAAGCTAATGCTAAACTGCTATACCAACATGGTATTTAGCAGAAAGTATGTAAAACGCTATAAAAACACATTTGATGAGAGCTAATGCTACCAGAGCTACAGTAACCAACATGGTATTTAATGAGAGATAAAGCACTACACTTACACGGTGCTAATTAGAAGCTAAAGTTAAAAAGCTTTGTCAACATAACATGTAACTGAAGCAACTGCTAAAACTGATATGGTATTCAGCAGAAGCTAATGCATGAAGCTAATGATATGCTTCACCAACACCCTCTGTGCTGAACTGTTTTATAAAACAATAAAGTAAACACAAGCAAAAATAAAAGAATAAACAGAAATAATACGAACAGGAAGGAAACAGTTTCACAGTTTGAAGCATCACAAACTGGGACCGATCAGAACCAACTGGATGAAAACCAGCTTCTTCTTCTTCTTCTTCTTCTTCTTCTTCTTCTTCTTCTTCTTCTTCTTCTTCTTCTTCTTTTTCTTCTTCTTCTTCTCTGCCTCCCAGGCATCAACTCATCAAACTAAGACAGAAAATCCGTCTGATGAGAAGAAAATAAACTTAGAAGACTCATCTTTCATTTCTGCCAGTCAAATCTTCATGTTTCCATTTTTATCCCATTGATGTGTAGGACAATGCTGCCACCTAGAGGCCAAATGGCAGGACAGGAGCTGCTTTTGGTGATTCAGCAAGAACCTTGCAGCTTTAGAGGTTCGTCAGAGAACAAGCAGCATCACGGAGACAACAGTGATAACAGTAGCATCCTGTCTGCTGGTACTGAGCGCCGGAAACAGCAGGTTTCCCCCAGTATATTTATATACATTTATATGTATATATCTTCTGCTGTGAGCATTTTACTGGTGGGGCTGAATTATTCCTGAAATAAACATGGGTTTATAATTTTTATGGTTTTTATAGTTGATACATTGAACAGGAAGCGCACCCATCACTCCACTTTGCGCACTCTGTCCTGACTTGATCTCTGAAGTTCACCTCGGCGCGGATCGCTCATATAGGCTCACCTGCATCAACCCCCTGTGAGGGCGAGAGTCCATAGGAGTCAAGTTTAAATCCACCGTGTTTGCTCTGCTTGCAGCTCAACTGCAAAAGTTCAGACTGAGCTGCTTTCAGTGTTCACAGGTTTTCACAGCGCACATTTAGCGGTGCGCATTGAACATTAAGGTGACAATGACATGTCTGTGAACAAAGCATTATGCGCGGCCTGTGCGTTTACGTCATGCTGACTGTCTGCTTTGAGTTCCCGGTTAGCCGGTCCGTTACGGTGGTTCAGCCCGGGGAGGAGCCTCATGACCAGCGCAGCACGCTGGGTTTTTATTTATTTATTTATTTATTTATTTATTTATTTATTTATTTATTTATTTATTTATTTATTTTGCGGCGACACAATGCATATCAAATGCTTTGTCTACTTAAAGTCAGGTAAAGTTGCTGCGCGGAGATCAGAACGATTCAAACCAAAACGGTCTGTGTGGCGCTTAAACTCAATAGACACGAAATGAAGGAGCTATAAAGCCACATACATTAAACCTCCTGTTTGTCCCTCTACATCTGCAGAGATGCGCTGTGCAGCGGATTTACCTCATCATGCAGGGCCGGTTCAATGTTGAATGAGGCCTTGAGCAGAATTTGATTTAGGAACCCCTCTTGTTAAGAACAACACGACTAACAGCATTTCAACATGGATTTAGTGACATTTAGTGGATTTAGAGAGAGCAGAGCAAAGGTGTCATCGACTTCAGCAGAACAAACTTCAGGAGATCTGTGTTAAAAAATCCAACATTTACAGAAGGAACATTGATAAAGCATGTAAATAATCCTGAGCTGCAGTTTTAAAAGTCTAGTTTTTATTTTAAAAAAGAAAAACCAAAAACCAACAAGAGAAAATGTTCACCGTTAGTCAACAGAAGCTGGAGAAGCAATTTCAGTTCCTCATGGTTGCCTGTGTGACTTAGACACTCACTGAAAACATCTTTATGATGCTCACATGCAGAGAACTGCAGATCAGGACCTGATGGTGCAGTCGACCCGGTTCTACTGGAACCAGAACATCTGCTCCACCTCCAGCTACTGAGGTTCTCTGAGTCAAACCAACCTGTTCCCCTCCTGGCCTGTGGGGGCGCTGCACCAAGAACCACTGAAGACACTGAGAGCAACTTCCTTCTTCACCAGATGGAAACAAGATGGAGGCGTCAGATTTTAGCGGTTGGAGGATTTCTCTTTAGGCTAAAGACCAGGAGCCATTTCTGCTGCTAGCGCTAGGCTAGTATGTTAGCTTTGGTTGCATTTGCCCAGAATGCCCTGCTCTGTAGTCCATGTCTTGCTTCTGGAACAGTTTCTGTTCACATATTTGAATCGCATCGATTTCACTTCAACCGAACCCAAAACGAGGTTTGGAGACTGGTAAAATTCACATCTTTTATCAATTCATCTTTTATCAATTCATCTTTTATCAATTCATCTTTTATCAATTCATCTTTTATCAATTCATCTTTTATCAACCCTTTTTTTCAGTTTAATTTGGAATAGGACCTCTTTGGATGTGTTTAGCTAACAGAGTTGGGAACTGAAAGCAGGAGCAGTTTTATCTCATTAAAACTCAATGGTTTATCTTTTTAACGAAACATTCGTTCCTCTGACAGATTAAAAAGATTTTCTTTCTGACTTCCTGCCAGCTGTTGCCATTTAATTGTTATGACTTTCTGGTTTAACCTCCTGACTACCAGTAGTTCATTTTTGTCCTCTGTAGAGGACATTTCTAAACTTGAATATCTCCCACCCCCTCCATTCTACTGAATTAATTCCTTTTGGTATCTACAGAGGACATTGATACCACATGTGAAGGGGCGGGACTTTTGTATGTACCTTTTTCTCATTCATAAAAATGGCGTTCATCAGTAATAACACATTTTATGGGAAGAGACAAAGTAAGTGCATAAAATCTTTTATTATCTTACAAACACTGTGGGATTTTAAAAAAATGGTGATTGGACAATATTTTTTTCCCTGGTGGTCAGGAGGAGAACGTAGTTTTAATAACAGACAAAACTATTTATTATAATTAACTTTCTTGTTTTAACGAGTTACTGTGTTTAGGGCAGGCAGTTAAAGGCCTCCTGTGATTTTTACGAGAATAGCAGACTTAAATTTAAAAAAAGAGGAAAACTGGGCGATATTCTGTTCTTGATCCTGAAAATTTAAAAAAAGTAACAAAAGTTTGGTAAAGATAATCAACATGAAAATTTTAGGACATTTTATGTTGTTTTTATTTAATCAGTAAAACCTGAAAAGAACAGTTTATGTTTCATATCTATAAAACAACCAATAAAAATAGAGAATGGACCATCATTTATCATCAAAACCAGAAGTTTATGCTGCATAAAAACACACTCACCGTCTGACATGAAATCAGGTTTTCCTGTTTCAGTCTGGATTAACAAAATTATTTTTGTTTGTGTTTAAAAATGAGACTTTTTACAGAATATCTTAATTTTCTTCATATTCAGAAGTTTCAACTTTTTCCCAGATATCTGGTGGAACCACCTTTAAACTGAGATTTAGCGCTCGGTTATCTCCAAACATTTTAGATCAAAATCTGCCTGTTTACAGCCACTGTTGGTTCATTGTTCGCAGAGATGCGCCTGGTCACGTCACGTGTGTGAGCGCGAGCTAGAGGGGTCAGGGTCAGGGGTCAGGGGTCGGGGTCTGGGTCGGGGTCAGGGTCGGGGTCTGGGTCGGGGTCTGGGTCAGGGTCGGGGTCTGGGTCCGGGTCGGGGTCTGGGCGAGGGTCAGGGGCCGGGGCCTGGGTCGGGGTC